GAATCGTGATAGCAGCAGAAATAGCCAATCGTTCGGCTTCCAGCGCTTCTCTTTCGAGTTTCTCTTGTTTCATGGCTCTGAACAACACTCGGGCTGCGGATCCTCGATAATATGACTGAACAAATGCCAAGGTGTTCGAATTGGTATCCAAATCTTACTTGAATTGTGACAATAGCAGATTGAGCTAATCGTTCAGCTTCGAGTTTCTCTCTTCTTAGCATACTAGTTAGTGTTCTCGCTTTGCACCCGCGGTAAAATGCCTGAATAAGATTCATATTTTGCTTCGACTGATCACATACCTGAATCATAATTGCGGCAGCTTCACGAGCTTCCATCTGGCGAATGAGTTTACGTTTCGCAAGCCACAAACGAACAGCAGCCTTAAATTTTTTATGGACAAACACACACGAGTTTTTGAAAATTTATCAACTGACTTGAAGTTTTCTAGCGCACTTATCGTAGTCTATCTCCTTTTCAATACTGTCGATATCCTGGTCACAACATTCTTCCCTAAAGCAATCTATTTCTGAAGAAGATATTTGCGAAAGCATACAGTTGTGAAACTTCTTCAACTTTGACAGTATCACCATGTTCTGCCTGAACAACACCAAAGGTGATCATTTAATAAGTCAGGACATACCAAAGACATTCTGTTAAAGGAAGCAGTACAATCATCTTCTGGTATTATGTAAGTTCTCTGAACATCACACGTGATATCACATGTTATATCATTGATAGAACCTCTGATATTGGATGCGCAGCTCTAATAGAAAAAAATAAAAGAAAATATTATTGAAATAGTATACCTTCACAAACTTCAAAAACTTGTAGGATCTGTAAGCTTTCTGTATTCTAGCGGCTGCCGAATTTATTTTATGATGATCGAACAGGCGAGTTAAGTACATGTAAGCAAATAACTGCACTGCTCCTTGTAAACCTAATGGAACATCTAGTTCACTTTCAGCCTTTAAAATGATTTCAAAAACGAACTGAAGAATAAATCACTTACCGCTGAAACAACTTGTTTATACAAAGTATTTCCAGGATAAAAAGTAACATCGGGTGCTTGTGGGTTATACAATCTCCAGGCACCCGCCAATAACCTTCCATCTTTCAAATCATCAATACATTCCACCTTGAAATTCTGATTATAAAAAGTGTATGATACTACCTCTTACGTGTAAACCCAAAGCGTCTCCAATTTGGCGACAGATGTGGAGGACTAACTCATCTGGCTTCGTATTTTCATTAGCACATCCAAAACTACTAAAGCGTCTGTTCTCCAAATCCATTGAAAGTCTTCTGAGTTCATGTTGCCTAGATTCTAACTGAAATCTCGAACATCGACAGGTATGAAAAAATATATTTACCACATAAACACCGACAAGTCTCCAGAGTAATTCAAGTATCGCTTCTTTATTTCCAGCCACGATAGCGTCGGGTTTTAGGGCTGTATATAGTAACTGACAAACTTGCGAGCTACCAAGAATTACCTCCCAAATCCAGCCCCGCCTGTTTGGCCGCTTCAAAGGAAACTTTGATGTTACCAACTTTTCTAAGCCTATCCCCTTTTGGTTCTCGTAATTTCAATGCAATATGGTTAACATGATAAATTATTTCGATCAATTTTCTGAAAAAAGATAAATGTTTTTGTAAAGGAACATGTACGTACCCAAGGACAATACCATCACAGAAGTTATTGAAGCAAGTAACCTTGTAATCGAAGTTATCTAAAAAGCCCTAAAGCCAAGAAAAAGATCAGATGCAGTCGAAAAAATGACCTGTTTGAATTTAGGCTTGAATCCTACTCTTGCCATTGCTTTATGCAGAGGTAACGAGCTAGCTGAAAGGATTTCACGAGACAGCTCAGAAAAGACATCTTCCAAGCACTGAAACTTGTTGCGCTTAAAAAAAAGACAGTGAAAAATTAACCTTGTAAGAGGACGATTTGTTGAACATACGAGGATTATGCTCAAATACCCCAACTGATTTTGCATACTCAACAAAGAAGAAAAACTGACAAGCATGAGTCAAAAAATGAGCATGGAGAGCTTCACGACCAGCAGGAGTAACAATCATCCTGAGATTATATATGTTTGATAGCTTCTATTCGTGAATCTAACTTGACGGTTCCTAACGCAAACTTTTTGTTTTTCATAATAATCGGATCCGTGAATAATCTGGATGAAATGAATTTCGATAAAACCGAAGCGTACAGTTCACCATCTCCGATACTAATTTTCTCAGCGAAAACTTTAAAAGAGGTGATATGAGCAGGAGAAGTTTTTACTAACCTATTTCTAATCCTAAATGAAGCCAAAAAGGATTAAACGACAGAAAAACTCGTAGTAGTGTTTTCATCAAGCCTAAAGCTTCAATATAAGACTTAAGAACTTGAGTACTTACTAATATTGCAATACACAGCACAATCATCACGGATAGCTACTTCCCGACGGCTAACCATTTCACGTATCTTGATAGGAATATTCGTTACTCGATAGCATTTTGAGGCTCTGCAAAAAAGTTTTTTAATACACTAATTTCATAAGTACGAACTTCTCCATAATCGCATCACGCTCCTGTTTTTTCAAGAAGTCCTTGTAGGTGAACTTCTTCGAAGCTTCTTGATTAGCCTGCTCACATTTGGATGGTTTAGTAAGTAAGTCTTGCAACTTTTGGTCAGCTTCTGAAAGTCTGATCATATGTTTACATTTTCAGAAAAATCTCACCCTTTCTAGATTTTCCGAGATCAATTTCAGCAACATCCAAATCAGATTTTAAAATAATGTTACACCATACCGTCAAAGCTTTCATTTGACGATCCAATTTCTCTTCGTATGTCTCATACATTATTGACACCTTGAACAAAGAAGAGTGTGAAAACAGTAAGTAAAGAACAGACATCATTAGTTGGGAGAAAGTTTGTAGAGGAACAGGCAGTATTCACAACAGGCTCTGAGCATGATACTGAATTTGTCCCCAATTTTTTTCCAGTAGGAGCCGTTTCCCGGAAAGGTGTAGATGACACTGTAAGACTTAAGCAAAGAAAAAGGAACAGAGTTACCTGGTCCGAACAGATTAATATCAGAATTTTGGGTGAATGTTGTTTCAAAAGGATGGATAGAAGAAACGTTAGATAACCGAAAATCCGATTGGACCTAAAATTAGTTCATGACTAATAAGCACGAAGTTAAAATAATACAGGATTAGGGTAGCCATGAGCAGAACTTAAAAACGACTGCTCAGTTAAACTTATATCCAATTTGTTAACAGTTTGTTCCACGACTTCATTTGTTTTCTTCGTCTCTATAAACTCAAAAAATTAAGCGTGTTGTGCACAATGGTTCACTCTTCGCTTCATTAGCTTTCGCACGCCTTTCTTCCAACTGCTTCATTTTCTGCATAAACTTCGCTTTTGTACCACTGTCATCTTCTAACCCATCCTAGAGAAAAAAATTCATAAAGCTCAAAAGAGAAACTAAACTTCAAAATTATTAGCAAATGTATTAGTTTTTTGAATCATGGGTTCCCTTCTGTTCAAATTTTTTGGTGGAAGAGGTACTCGGAAAACATTCTGAAGAAAATATTGCAACAAGGAGGTACACAACGCTCACTTCATCAGGAACAGAACGCAAGGGAGAATCATCTTCGTCGTTTTCTGGTTGATATTCTTGCTCTTGTATATAGTTGTTAAATCTAGAATAGTTCCAAAAATCTCAAAACCTACACCCTGTAAATTACCGTAATTGCCTTCTACTCTTGCTATTTGATGGCTGGGCTTCCGCTGACATTTCTCTGAAAGAAATCTTATTGAGCACCAATGATTATCATTATTATTCAAATAAATAAGGTTCACTTCGTCATTGAAATTAAGATCAAGCTAATGTTAGGCTAAACATAGACGTTTCAAAGATTAAATTTTCGCGCCTGACGATGGTGAATTCGCGATAGAGCATAAACGATTAGCAGTGAAGCACAATTCATAAAACAGTTCTATAATTTAATTTACATTTTGCCGGATGTTTTTTACTAGCTTTAGAATTTAATGATATACCATTTGTTCTGCATTCAATTCATTTTTCTTCAGGTGTTTGATGGAATCAGAGTTTGGATTAGAAACATATCTCGGCGATAGAACTTTGAAAGTTCCTTGTATACTCAAAGAGTTATATTCAGATTTTATTGTTCAAGAAATATTAGGTATACAAGAAATTATTGGAATTGTTACTCAATAGTTTGAATTTTCGCAGAAGATGGAACTGTGCTACGGTTTTTGTCAGATCAAGAAATCAGAGCTCAAAACAAAGTTGTAAAAGTTGATGATAGCCTGGATGTCTCTATACCAGTGCCTTCTTTCATAACTGAAGAAGTCTTATCGGATCTTGATAGTTTACTACAAACTGAATCTGAAAAAACTTCAGTTGATATTTTAACCACTGTAAAAACAATATTGCACAAGCTTCTCTTAATGAAATTTTAGGACCTGGCTAAAGATGAAAGAAAATCCATACACGGTTTCGTGCGTTCTCGTTATCGCGGAAAGTTACAATCTGAAACTAGTCAAAACAAGATTGTGGTAACCCTGGATGATCCAAAGTATGGTTTTTGTGTTCTGAGTAGCTAACTTATGAGTTTTAGGAAAAGAAAACGTTGGCATCCAGATACCCCAAGTCATTGCCATTTCACTCTTGCCAAAGAAAATAAAGACACAAGCTTCGCACTGAGCTTGATTGCGAAGTTTCTTCAGTAAGCTTAGAGCTTAAGGCTTTTTTATCAAATGTTTGAAGTATGAAACCCAGCGCTTTCCGTTCCCATGGCATTAAAGATCGAAGAGCCGCTACGACTCAAAGGATCAGTTCGGGTAGAATCGATAAGGTTAGTTATTGCCCGAAATTGCCGGTTTTATCCTGAGTACAGAGTTTAAAAATTTTTTTTATTAGTCACGACTTTTATCTTTGAATAATCGTCTTAAAGGAGTCAGATTGTATGACTTCGAATTCAAAAGCTCTGATTTGAAAATGGGAGGCCATAGTGGAAATAGATTCTCAATAATTCTTAGGTAACTGTAATAACGCTTTTAAGGTACTCTTTTCTTAAGGAGTATCAACCCAGAACACAAAAATGTTCTCGAAGAACGGCTAAATGAGATTGGCAAACAAGGATTTCTGAACTATTTTGGAACTCAACGTTTTGGTTCTTGCGATAGGAATACTGCTACTGTTGGAAAATACATTCTACAGCGTAAATGGGAGCTTGCTGTTCGTTATATCTTCAGCGATGTTGTCTCTGGTAATAGTAATATTCAAAAAGAGAATATAATGTTTTTCAGATTCTGCTTATACCGTAGGCCACGAGGATCCCCTGAATAATCTGAAATATGTGGGGAAACCAATAGCTGCTAATTCTATCGAAAGCATGATACAGAAATGCCTTTCAAACGGTGGAACATGGCAACAGGTAATCTCTTTAATATCTGTTTTTTTTATCAGTTGCTCTTTAAGTGCATAACTGAAGCTATTCCGATGAATATGCGCAGTTTATATGTTCATGCGTATCAATCTCTTTTATGGAATCAAGTGGCTTCTCGAAGGATTAAATTGAGCCCAGATTCTTGCATTGAAGGAGATATGGGATCCGATGGCAAACTCTTGGGAGAGAATGCCTCAATTTTCGATGTTTATATTCCACTGCCTGGAGGAATGACGACTTTTGACTCTAACTATGGTAGAAATCGAATAATCTTTTACATTCTTACTGGTTTTTGTAGCCAATGACTGGTATAAAGATCTCTTAGCCAAGGACGACCTTACTTTCGAATCTTTCGTCAGTCTTGAAGAGTAAACCAGAATCTCATTTCAAAATAATTTCTTTGTTCCAGTCGCTTTGCACTTGGTGATTGTGTGAGAGCTTTCATAGCAAAACCTATCGATTTGTCTTGGAAGTTTTATAATTACACTCAGCCACGATGCTACCTGCAGGTACGAAAGGGTTCTAGAACTTCATACAGTAATGGTTTCCAGGATGGTTTGTCAACCAAAGCAATTCCCGAGTCAGAGAGAGTAGGCCCAAATCTGGCACTGCAAGTACAATTCAGTTTGGTTCAAGGCTTATATGCTACTGTTTTATTACGCCAAATAACGGGTATTGACATGGGGAAGTCTAATATGAAAGAGGTATGAACTGTTATGCTGTAATTGAATTTCTGGTTCCAGCTTTGTCGTCAGAATGGAACGTTGGATAATGATCCAGAAGATGCTGAAGCTGCGGATGACATCGAGGAGAATGTAATCCTGGATCCAACACCTTAAACTCACTAATTTTTGTACCTATTGTTATTGTTTTTATTGTTGAATTTGTTGAATTGTTTAAAAGGAATAAATTTCATATTGATTCGCAGATGCGAAAAACATATTGTTCATGGTCGGAATGACTTTTATCAAATAAAATTAGAATACAGATGAAGTTTAAGATTTTCTAGCTCGTAGTGAGTAAGGTCTCGAAAGCAATAAAACAAAAACTGTTTTATTCATTATCTGGCTAGAAATTGTGTACCCTCCTACACTGTAATGACTAATGCCTCGAGAGCTATACAACAAGAAATCACTAAAACTTGCAAGCAAGAACATGATTCACTTTTTGAATGATTCTGGCATGTCAAACGAGCGAGAGGAAAGTATGCATGAAATCGTTTGCTTTCTGATCCAGTGCTTGTTCTAAGCAGCAATTGATATTGATACCAGCAGATATGAAAAGCGTGAAGGCTGCCGAAAAGATATATTGGTTAGGAATGAACCTCTCGGTATAATTTACATTTATCTTTTTCTTCACAAATAACTAGTTTCGTTCTTCAGTGATCGATTACTTCTCTTGATTGGAGATGATACGATGAGGCATGTTGAAAGTTAAGCTTTGATGCTTAAGAACATTGTTATTTTCAGGATAGATTTTTTGTATAGATAACACGCCATAGAATATTCCAGGCAGTTCCTTAACTTTTTCCGAAAGACAATCTGTTCTCTTCCCAAGTTTCAAACAATGACTCTCTAGTTGTGCCGTGGATATGAGTAAGCTGTTTGCTAGGAAGAAAACACCTAATCACCGTATTTCACTTTTCTTCGTTGATCTTAGCAAGAACTGTCATGAAATCTGAAATATCAAAAAGAGTTAACTGAATTTCATGTAGTTCATTGAACAGCCATCCACATAACAACCGAAATTGAAGGGAACCGACAGAAAAACATTTTCATCTCATAGTTTTGAATGGGCCTTAATCATTCTCTCCATCATATAAATTTAGAACATCATCCCTGCTCGTCAACTTATCAAGTTTAACGCATTCTTACTTTTGATAAAAAGTTGAAATACGTCTTCGTACATCAAAGCAACCGGTCAGTGCCATCAGCAGTCAAAAAATGACGCATCTTTTTTACGTTGCACGTCAAATGTGTGCGTTTTTTTGTAAATCAAAAGAAAAATTGCAATAGATATTTTTCAATTTCGATCATATGTTCCAGTTGATATTTTGTTGCAACTTCCTAAAAATTAAGAATTGAGATTTGTTTTCAGCTGTTCATTTGTTCAAGTAAATCGCTTTATGTACCACCAGTTCCGAGAAACGCCTAGTTTGTCATGGGCTAAATCAAAATTATAATCATTCATCTAAACAAAAAAAAAGCTTTGTTTCACAAGATCTGACACTCCAAACAGTCTTTATCAGTTCAGGTTCGCTTATAAACTGCCGAATGGGAATTTTAAGCCGTGGCGTTCATGCTACTAACGAAGAAAAGTTCCTAACTAATTTTTCATAGTAATTGAACTGTATTTTCATCAAACTATACTAATTTAGTATTGTAAACAGAAATTGTTGTGTACAAGGGACGCATTCTGAAAACGATGCGTTCACTAAGAGAAACTGTAGAAAGTTTAGAGAAAAAAAGAAAAGAAGAGTGAATGAAGTTTCGTTTCTTCTTCCATACTTAGCTTCCAGTTCTTCACTCTTTCATCTCTCAAATAGTTTTTCGCCTATCTCTCTCTCCTCTCTCTTCTTTTCTCTTTGCGTTGTTATTCATTCGCGTTTATCGTCGTCGTCGTTCGCTCAAAGGACTGTGCGTAATGGTCTTACCGCGTGTTGGTTGCCGGTCGTCCAATCGAATGGTGAGGCCTGTGGTGTGCCTGTAGTGACCCCGATCTGGAGTGTCGCTACTTTCCTGTATTTCTCTAGACCCTGGTACAACAATTTCCTTCTTAACATATGCACAGAGATAGGATGAAGAAAGAGATTTCTATCGACCACACATTTATAAACATACGCACTTGGATAGACAGACGATATTCATCAGATATCTCATCATCAACATCTTCATTCTGTCCTTATCACTCGTCCGTCCTAAATTAAAACCCTTGTCTTCATCATAACAATAATAATCGGTATGTTCGCACAAAATTATCCAATTTATAGTTTGTCGACTGTCTTTTTGGAAGTCTTTTACATAATTATCTTCCTCACAATCTTGACTTTTCTCGTTTTTTTTTCACTTTTCTATAACTGTCATTTGTAATTATCGTTTGATATTTCTCAACCTTTCTTGATTACCGGAGTCCAATCGATAACGTATTGCTCTATCCGTCAACAATTCTCCAAACATTTCAAAATTTCCGAAATGCTTTTGTGTTGAACCATTGTTAGCCAAGTTGAGCTATTTTTCGAATCCAATAATGTTTCCAAATGTTAATATTGGCTTATCCGATATGGACTACGCGAGCTCCAGCTTCTCTGATTTGTTTGTTAAATTTCAAAGCGTCAGATGGTTAGTAATCTAGTCCATCTAACGATTGGGACGGAAGACTGGCAACTTGCGTGTCACTAAGTGTGTTTGTACAAGACCCCGTGTTGTATAGAGGTCTCTTTTTCCCTCTTTCGAGTCTGTGCTATGTGTGTTCTGTGCTGAATATCCAAGTTAACGTCACAATTCTTCCCTTTGCTTCTTCGTTCAAACGCTTCGTATCTGGCCAACCTTTTTCTACGAAATGTGAATATGTGTCTTTTGTTCTTCTAGCGTTGCTTCGTTCTCTTTTCCCGAATCCGATTCGTGTTCACAGAAGTTTGAACTTTCAGGAAAAAAGAGAGTCACAGGAGCTGGCATGAAAAAATTGAAGAGACGTCTCAGTGCCGCGTTTCGGGGTGACCGAGGTCGTTCCATTGAAATCACAGATGTGTGTGGAATTCATCCAAGTTATGGGCACGGCATCTTCTTGGCCCATCCAGCACCTTCGAGGACATGGAGTCTCTCAGATTCCATGAGTCATCTAGCCGATAGGTTTGTTTGCCTTATTTTACTTAACTACTTTTACTTGTGTTATTCAATGCTCTGTTCGTAGTCATTTCCTTTTCCGGAATGAGACGAACGTTTCCTTCTTTTTGTGTAGCATCATCAGCTTTTCATGCAGAAGAAGGTTTTTTGAATTTCAGCGTTACTCCCGTTTTCTGCTGAAACGCTGATTGAAGTCGTATTTAATTAATTTAAAAGTTTTTCGCCGTGTCAACAGCCTGACAATAGAATTCTTACCGATTTTCTGTTATCTCCTGATTAGTTTGCCCTTTCAGACTGGCTGCAGATGGTGTTATCGTTGAGGAAACAGACCCATCTGCCATCTTACGTCGTCCAGATCATCGATATCGTCACATCCAGCCTCGAGCGACAAGTATGTATAATCCTAGCGTTTATCATGGCTACTATGGATCTCATGCATGTAAGTTACTTGAAAATGCTGCGTTTTGAGCTTAGCCTTATCTAAATTGTGACAAGATGTCACTCCAAACGTAACTTTTTATGAGCGTTTTATTGTGAAATTCTATTGACTAACAGAGACTAAGATTAAATTAATGAAGTTCATGAGCGCGCAAAAGGACATCTGGCAATATCCCAAAAGTTCTGGCAGCTTTTTTGTTTTTATGGAAAGCTTTTTCGAACGAAGATTTGCTCGCAAAGCTTAAGAAACAAGAATGGGAAGGCCCAGCAATACAAGCCCTCGGGGTTTGTAGTTCCGGGGTGAAATTGAGAATACAAAACCTCTTGTTTTCTGTCTCGTGCTCGAGCAGTTTATAGAAAAGCTTACCCTGGAAACGTCTTATCGTTAGTGTTACTGAAAAAATGGAGAAAATCCAAAACACTACACATGTTCAGATCACTAGCCAGATGTTCTTCGTCGTTCACACAAAGAAGTTCATTGTGTGATCACCAGGCTTAATTTGGCTGTTGACAGGCTGTACACGTATTGATTAATGAAGCAGATAAGAAAATTAGGAACGTGGGGGTCGCTTCATTCTTTTCTTCGCTAGGCAGTTACAGCCAGCCACCAGAAGAGTTCCTTTTGCATTCTTCTCCATTCCAACATCATCACAGCTACACTCGAATCATCGTTAATTCTTCCTCTCTCCACTAATTAATATTATGCAATGAGAGAACTGATGAAGAGAAGGAATCGAATGAGAAGTAACAAAAGAACAAGAGCTAGACTTTCTGCTTTTCATGAAATTGCATTAAAGGCGATTGTTGGGGTGTGATCCGTAATTAGCGGTTGGCGTGTGCGCCTCAGGGGCGGGGCGATCAATAGACGGCAGTCGGACAAGTCGTTATGTCGCGGCTCTCCAAGTCGGCTACTTTTCACGATTTTGGTGAATCTCCCCCTACCTTAGATATCAGACATGATGTTGACGATGAGTATGAAGATCATCATACCCCACTGGCTTCAGAGTGTGAAACTGCACCTCGTAGTTCTCACAAACTCCCATTCAGTAGTTGGTTTGGATTATTTTCCGGCAAGAAACGATCACATCAACGATCGAGCATGAGAAACTCCATGTCAATGTCTTTAGGTAAAATCCTTTCTGATTATCATGCTTGTATGAATGAAAAGTGCGAAAGTGAAAAGCGTGTGTTGTGGTGATGAGCAGGCTCGCTCTTTTTGCATGTTCGTTCTAGTGCAATCACTTTTTTCGATTCTTTGATGACAGCTGTGAGAGTCGTTTTAACGGTTTAATGAGTTTCACAATATTTCGTTTATATTTATCAAGGAAGTTCATGAGTGTGGGTAAAGCTTTCTTTCGAATGCTGAGCTACTTACGACTATTATTGATTTTTCGCACCCTCAACCGAAGCTGCAGCTTGTTATGCCTTATATTACAGCCGTCGTTCAAGAGACATCAATATTAGGATCGGATGGCGAAAGTGTCGAAGTATCTCCTTGTACGTCAGACCAAACACCCACTGGAGTTCCTCCAAGATACATTGTGAATGTGAAGTTAAGACAAAAACCTACAAGGAAATGGAGCGAGGTTTGTTGGTTTCGTCCCCTTATATGATATGAGACAATTTTTACAAAGAAAAGTGCATTTATGCTGCTGAAGGGAGAAAAGTCTAATGTTCTTGGAGGACAGTTGTCAAGAACCTTGACACCTTACTCTGCTTTTTGAACTTTTGACATTTGTTTCCTGAACTCATAAGTGCTCCCTCATTGTAATCTTGTCATAATTGTTCTGCTCATCCCGCATTCCCAGTCAATTCTGCAGTTTTTAACCAATTTCTTATTATTTCCAGGAGGATATTCAAAAACGACTTTCTCTACCGGCTGATATGCGACTGCCTATAAGTGTAGTTGAGAAACTTAATAGAACGCCGACACTTGACCAACCACTCACTAGGAAAAACCGAAGAGCTTCTCTTGTAAGTTGTTGAATTTCAAACTTGTTCACCGACATCAAAAATCTTTTGTATTTTTCAGAATGAAATCGGCTTTGGTAAATTAGAAACCTATGAAAAACTGAATAAACTGGGTGAAGGCACGTATGCTACAGTTTACAGAGGCTTCTCTGTTCTAACAAACAAATATGTGGCTTTGAAGGTGAATTATTTTTCTTTTTATGCATTTTTATGGTTGTTGATATTCGCATTTCTCTCTACTTGTCCTTCCTCCGTAATTATTTTGGGAGAATTATTTTGGAAGAACTCTAAGGGGCTTCAGTTGTTATTGCTTGATATACTTTGCGAATCGATCTGTAATAACGAGAACGTAGCGTGTTGTTGCATTATTGATACACTTGAGTGAATTCGAATGTCATTCTGTGGTCTTGCAAGCTCTATCCTAACCTCCTTCTGACTAAATATGGATGGATATAGGGACCAGACATTCTGTTTAGCGTGTCCGATGATTTGCCACATTTTCTTCTTCTGTTAGATTTCCCCACCCCTCCTCTCATTTTCTCTCTCTCTATCCCACACTCTCCCTCACTTCATCCCGCTGCCTATACGGCTGTCCATAATAACAAGCACAGCAATTGCTGGCAGACTTTCTGGGATTTCATTATCGACCGTCAATCTGCCCAACTTGCTCGTCAAAGTTTGAAATTTCCTACTTCAGCATTCAACTTCACTATTTTAAACGAAATTCATGAGAGGGGGAAATCCTCGGCAGCCGGGGTTAACGTTTCAAGAAGTAGGGAATTAACTGAGGCATTTGCAACAGCATCGAGAAGATTAAGAAAACGGCTTACCTCTTTAGGCTGTTGAAAAATAGACATTTGGGTTTTTCTCAACACCTTTCGCTTTTCGTTTTGACTAATTAAGTTGTAAACGGCTCTTATTCAAGATCTGAAACAAACGACGATTGTTTTAAATGGCCTGTTTATGGCTCACACTCAGAGGTCCCAGTCCATATGTGGACATTGGCATTGTCCTTGTCCCCATGGTTAATCTCTTGAGTAGAACGGAGAACATAAGGCTGGGAAGGGAAAGTCGTTCTCATGAATTAGCTCGTATTGGGGAATAATTTGTGGTTCTTACTATTGAGAATAGTTACTGTTAATTGCAGGAAATACGTTTGGAACAAGAAGAAGGAGCACCATGTACCGCAATCCGGGAAGTTTCCCTATTGAGGAATCTACGTCATGCCAATGTCGTCACTTTGCATGATATCATTCACACGGATCGACTGTTAACCTTGGTTTGAAGAAAATGCTTTCAAACAAATTTGTTTCAATTCTAGGTGTTTGAATACGTGGATAGAGATTTGAAGCAATATATGGATGCATGTAGTGCTCCATTAAGCATGAACAATGTTCGGGTGTGTAATCTCATTTTCACATCAACTTAAAGTTTCTTTTTTAGCTTTTTCTCATTCAATTGTTACGTGGTCTCGCTTATTGTCATCAACGACGGGTTCTTCACAGAGATTTGAAACCTCAGAATCTCCTGATAACAGCAAAAGGAGAACTCAAGTTAGCAGACTTTGGTCTTGCTAGAGCGAAATCTGTGCCTACAAAAACTTATTCTAACGAAGTCGTTACATTGTGGTATAGGCCGCCAGATGTTCTCTTAGGTTCGAGAATGAAGAGACTGTTTATAAATATATTTTATTGCTTTCCAGGTTCCACCGACTATTCAACTCATATCGACATGTGGGGTGTGGGTTGTATTTTGTTCGAAATGATCGCTGGCCGAGCTCTTTTCCCTGGTTCTACCACTGACGAACAATTAGGATTGATATTTAGGCAGGAAAACATGACATTTCTTTCATAATCATTTTGTTTTTTTCAGAACACTCGGATCGCCTCGGAAAGATAAGCACCCAACGATTTGTGCAAGATCAGCTTATGCTCCTTATGCTCATAAGGTGTATACTCCTGATCCGATCAATCGTCAGATACCAAGACTCGAGTCAACTGGATATGATTTACTCCAGAAATTTCTTCAAGTGAGTTTGACGTTGCTGTTCTGATCGTTATATATTCTGTTCAGTATGAAGGCAATAACCGTATTTCCGCTCGGGATGCTATGCAACATCCGTTTCTCAGGGCTTTATACCAAAAAGTAGTTTTTTTCTTTCAAAATTGAGTCTAAAGACCAAATACTTCAGGTAATACATTTACGGAATGATGAGTCCTTGCTGGAAGCTGAGGGAGTTCATCTGGAAAAAGATCCTGTCGGTCCAAAGGATAATCATGTTCAGAATAGGGTTTCAAAAAATACTAGGAGACAAAGCTTGTTAATATAAGTGGAAATCTAGTCAATGATTCCATTTTCGTTTTCAAACGGATCATCATATGCCTATAGGCTACTTAAGATGCATCTCGGGCCTTCTGCTTATCCCGGTATAAGATATCATATACATATATTCATATTTATTAATATGCTCCCTCTGTCAAACTGAGTGATCTTTTTGTATCGTTGTAGAACTGTTTTACTCTCTTGCCCAAATCTTCAATCCTTCTATCCGATTGAAAGTCGTTCGAAATATGCGAGCGGAGCGGTTTTGCGTCTCTACTGGTTACATTTTCACTGCGACGTCCTATCTCAGATCTTCAATTGTTTTTTCTCATCTCCTTTCATAGTTTTTAATTAATCATAAGTCTAATACTGTCATAATCTTTTACGAAAAGTTTCAAATCTGTGATCTTCATTTCATGCTCCAATAATTTAAGACGGACCAAAGCCATTGTATTTCTATTCGCGTAATGTCCTCGAAACCGTTTGAGGAACCAAAAAACACTCATTAAGATATATTTCTATATATATATATCTATATATATATAGTTTCAGAACTATGTACTTATTACTTCCATTCCCGTGAATTGTGTTTTCCTGTGTCTTTCCTCTAAAATATTCTGATGGAACTTTAAATCTCTTGTCCCAAGGGCGAACTATCACTGCATGCTGTGCATTTATCCTATGTCCCCTTCAGATTTTTAAGTCGACTTATGAGGCATTAGGAGTATTTTAAAGATTATATTGATAAATAATATATTAAAATCATTTAAATTTATACCTGCGTTATACCGCTCTGTTTATTTGACTCATAAGAGTGTTTTCGTTTATCATCACGGGAAGATAACTAAATGAAGACGTTGATGGAGCCACAAAAAGTGGAGATTCCAGTAAGGTGCATCAATGAATCGATCATCAACAAGCAGAAATACCATAATAACAGAGCAAAGGAGAAGGAGTGGGAGTTAGGAGGTGTCTGCGTATAGAAATTAGAATGTTCCGCTTGCGTTGTTCCAAACGGATTGTCATTTGTTTTGGGAAGGCAAACCACTGTTTTTGAAAGTTTTCGAAAATAGATATAAGGAATGATATCATCTGCTCAACACATACTTTCCTATATAAATTTAGAGAATTTACAACTTTGTCGATTTCAGAATGCCAATTTACTGAAAAAATTGTAGAAAATTATAATATTCTGCTCAATGGCATTGATGGAAAACAAATAAAAATAGATAAAGCTCACTTCTTGATTAGAGGTTGTTTCATGCTGGTTGATATTAACTTTTCCTTGATTCAAATAAAAATACGCAAAGTAACCATAAGGCGCACAGTTAAATGGGCGGAGTTAACTTGAGCAAAAAATCGAACTTCAACTAATTTCTGATAACGAACAACAACTACAATTATGATTAAATCAACTGATTGTGGAGAATTCTAAATGTGTTCTCTATAGTTTTTCAGGAAATGAAGGCGAAGGAATCAGTATGAAAAAATTGAATTTGTTAAAATTATCGATATTTTTGTCGTACTGTTATTATTGTGCTCATTGTCTTAAATGTCTTGAATCTCTTTCATGTGCTTTACTCGTGTTGTAAACTCCTGTATTAATGATATCATGAATATAATTGACAAATTTTGAATATTGACTCATTTTCTGTTTATTTTCAGAGCGAATTCAGTAAACGAGAAGCCTAGGACACTGACCGATTCGCTTTATAGTAATGTTTGATGGGATGGAAACAGCCAACGCTCCTTCAGTTCCACAAAGAAATTGGGAGGCAGCTAATCAGGTTTGTTAACTTACTTTTTTCCATGTAGCCTCTTGAAGCCGATGAAAATAAGTGGGCAAGGTTTGCTTAGTCATTGTGTTTTTAGCGCAACGAAATTGTTTGTGATTTGGCTAAAGAACTAATCACCCTTGACTAGAATTTTTTTCGAATGTTGAATTTAGGTGTGTCATGTTGATTCCATCTATGAGTATAATGAACGGGAACAATTAGAAATGCGAAATGCTAAACCATGGCAAAAGGATCAACATTTCTTCAAAGAGGTCCCATTTTCAGTTGTCTCGAAAGAGATCATCTATTTTTAGGTTAAAATCTCAGCTGTAGCTCTCTTGAAAATGGTGATGCATGCTAAGAGAGGGACTCCTCTGGAGGTGAAGCAATTCATTGATCGTTTCTTGATTATTGAAATTTTAAGGTTATGGGTTTGATGCAAGGGCGAATCGATGGCAACGCTTTCATCGTAATCGATAGCTTTGCTTTACCGGTAGAAGGAACTGAAACCAGGTTATCACACATTTTTTCTGAATACTTAATATCTTAACTTAAGGGTCAATGCTGCAAATCAAGCTTACGAATATATGTCTGTATATTGTGATTTATGCGAAAATATTGGTAAAAAGGAAAAAGTGAGTTTCAAATTATCAACCGGTCCCAATATCTGCATTTGTATAAATGAGGTGACCACCTAGGGTTGGCATGTTATCATTTGACGTTCCCATATTCACCGAAAGATTTTCAATGTCTTTTGTTCATATCATAACAGATTTATGTTTAGGTTGTGGGCTGGTATCACTCGCATCCGGGTTATGGTTGTTGGCTCTCTGGTATTGATGTTGCTACACAAGCTCTGAATCAGCAATATCAAGAGCCGTGGGTCGCAATTGTTATTGATCCTTTACGCACAATGAGTGCCGGGAAAGTAATAAAACTAACTTGATCACTTAAGTACTATGTTTTATAGGTGGATATTGGAGCATTCAGGACATATCCTAAGGGTTACAGCCCCCCAGAGTTCGACGGAAAACAAGAATATCAAACGATTCCCTTGAACAAGATTGAAGACTTCGGTGTTCATTGTAAACAGTATTATTCGTTGGAAGTGAGCTTCTTCAAATCCGAATTAGGTAAATTCGAATAGACAACGTACTCGATTATTGTATCTTGTAGATACCCATATCTTGAGTACTTTGTGGAACACATATTGGCTGAGCACTATTACAAGTTCTCCTCTACTTTCGAATGCTGGTTACATCAACAATCAAATGAGTGATATCGCGTCAAAAATGAAACATGTGATGAGAAAGAGAAAGCTATTGCAACAATTTTCAACTTTCAGATTGAAAAAAGATGGTCACGAGCCGAAAGAGGAAACGAAGTTAACGACCAGTTAGATAAAGTTGGTTTTCAGTAACTTCGTTTGATCCAACAAAAGCTCTAGGTTATGAAAGATGCGGATCAAGTGCAAGCGGAACTTGTATCTTCCGTCTTAGTGCAGCAATTGAAGAGGACTTTATTTGATCATAAGTAAAAAAAAGGGATGGGAAGATCAATCTTAAACTTTTTTCCGCTTTAGGGGATGTAGCGCTTTATGTGGAAACACTGATGGTACACCAGAAGCTTCAGCTGAAGTCATGGTAGAAGATAATAACGAGCAAGCAATGGATATGTAAAAGACGAGCACATTTTCCAAATGCGAGGATTCTCTGATCTATACGGTGTGTAACTTGTAGAATATGTGATTTTCGAAGTACATTCTCCATAACGTTGAAAGCTGAATACTTTAAATTGCGTTAATTTTTTCATTTAAATCATTAAATCGGTGTTGACCTTGACGCAATTGTTGGCAGTTTCTCATACCTCAGATAACCAGACTCTGACTAAGCCGACATCTCTTGCACTTGTTCTAACTATTGTTTTACGGTGTTTTCAAATTTGACGACTAATTTCAAATGTAATAAAATGTGAGAAAATGTTTGTTGTGCTGTTTATGTAAGACGTAAGCGTTCTAAGAAAACTTTATTGGAGGAATTTGAAATAATATTTTAGGACTCATGTTGTATTTGACACCGAAAGTAAACAAATATAGGAAGGATATGGCAAGAATGTAACATTTATGAAATGATTAAAGAATTGAAAGTGAAAAGATCCAGACAGATCCTATTTTTTAATATTTTTGGAGTTGTATCCTCGATGTAGATGGTAAGGGGATAAACACTTTTACAGAAGAGATCGATGCTGAAGTCGAGGAATAGCGTTGGGAACGGAAAAGCTTGGTTAGGGGTGGAAGACATAGTTGACTAGAAACATTTCAGTCGACAACTTTTAACTGTTCAGTTCATAATAGGGCATATAGATATGGCTTGTGCATTTTTCCTTCTGACTGCATATAAATCTGTTTGAAAGTTGAAGAGAGCTTGGCTATCCAATTTTTGACGTGATGTTAAAGAAGCAACTGATCCAAATACAATAAATCAGCGTTAGGATCGCGACGTTTGGCGATTTTCTTTGGTGCGAACGGTTTCACAGGCTTTGGGCTAGCAGTGGTAGCTGGAAAAAAATTCATTAGCGGGCTGCCTTACATAATAATTGTTTGTTTTACGGTAGGACTATTCTATTTTAGGAGAAGGCATGACTCGTGATCAAAGACGTGCCGTGGGTTAGAAAAACAGTTATCTAATCTTGAAAAAAGTGTCGAAAGGTAGTAGATTGTTCAGTGAAATTGAAGCGAGACTAAGGTCGTAAACGAAATTTGAAAAACGAATTTATGAAGAAGGAAAAAATTACCTTTCCGAACGGATTGAGTCGGCTTCGAATCTACTAAGGTCACGAATAAAGCTATAACAAAACAAAGCCACACAAACAAGCGCATTCTGATACCTGAAAATATTGTAAATGTATTCTGAACAGAAGTAGGCATACAGAACATTGAAAGAACGATAAGAATACTTGATACACAAACTTTGGATATACGCGAAGAAGTAAAGATTGATGAGAAACCGAGAAATTTCAAAATTCAAAAGATTGGTTTTAGGCAGATGTATGACCTCAGTCTGCATATTTGAGTTCAAACTGAAAGTACTTTGCAAGAATTCTGAAAACTTCTCTTTAAAGGATTCAAAAAAAGGGAAAAAATTGAAAGAAGTTTCTGTAAAAAGCGGAAGTCACACGGAACAGCTGGGATGATGAAGAAGACGGAAAGTATGCGGAAAAGAGGGTAGAAAGAAATAACCGTTCGAAGTCTGTACTGTAACAAATTTTGATGAATGTGTGAGCCACATATGTAAGTCTGCGAGTATGTTGTATTACCAGAACAAGCGAAAAGAAAAAGTGAAGTTGATGACGTTGCAAATGATGTAGTGAGATTTGTCCGGATTAGAAAAAACGAATAGTAAGACTTGAACAATAAGCTAACTGCAATATAGACATTTCGTAAAGAATGAGATAAGTGTCCTTGATATCTGAAATGTTCCCGGAAAGAAGAGAATGCCTAAACATCATTTCATAAACGGAATTGGGCATATTAAAGGAACAGACTAAGGACACAGGATCTTTATATGATTTTGAAAAAAAAAGGCAGAAAAAGAAGGAATTGGATCATTTGATGACATTCGAATTCACATCTTCAAACATGACAGATCTTAGCGTGCTCAGTTGAAACGTGAGACCATATTACAGCTAATAAAACTATATTATTAGTCTTGTTATAAAAAGAAACTGTGGAAGAAATAACAGCTAATGATCTATTAGCAAATACCAGACAAGAATATGAAAATGAAAATTCCCAATTGTTATTCGACACATTTAGATCGAACCGACAGAAATGGAACAAAATTGAAACAAGAAGATGTATCAGATGGATAGGGCATTTTAAGGAAAAACAGTCCTCTCATGGAAGTCAGAATCATTCCAGAACTTTTATAAATTTCAGTGGTATTGTATTGAAATAGACTTAAAGAACGGCGAACTACGCTCTACGGAATTCGTATTGAACGCCGTTTGACTGTTTCAATCGACAATAGGGGAAAGCTTAAAGAGAAATCTTTGAAGCTTTAGCCAATAGATTTTTGTAAGGAAGACTTGTTGAAGTTTTAACGACAAAGAAATTAACGGGAAATTCAGTTTCGGCGGAATGATAGTGATGATGCAGTTGCGGAGAAAGGGATAATCGGGATGTTGCAGACGATCGGAATGATAGACGAGAACTATTTAGATGAAAAAATATATATTATTGTAAAAGAAGAAAGTTGTCGTGTAATTTTATAATAAGGGCATGAATGCTAGTAGGCATTTATGCTGACCCACAACGAGTCAGACCCAAGATCTATATGTCGGGTGTTATGTCAAGGCCGTCCTTATCCGAAAGTCCACTTTCGTAAGATGACATAAGAAACAGTTTGTGGCTAAGATTAGCTGCTAAAAATTTTGGAAAAAATTTGCATATGGTCTAATTGTGGTAGTAAGGCGAGTGCCGCAAATTTCTGAAAGCCGAACTTATATGTGATCGCTTACCGTATTTGGAACGTTCGCTAATGGAATGTTCGTAAGAAGAACATGCAACATGCAACATTCAACTGAGGGCTTTTAAATGTTTTATAACAGTAATGACATAGACTTTTTTTGCCGTTTGTCCATTAAAATTCTCATGATTGAGGTGATAGGAATCTAAGTCGGGAGTAGTGGTGACAGTTTCGGTCGTTTTTGAAGCAAATTGCAACGATAAGCTTTTGGCAATTGCCGAATAGGTTGAAATATTTGATTCAAGTCAATCAGCTTGAAGCTACCATGAGAGAAAGAGTGATGTTTGGAAAAGGAATGCTGATGTTCACCGAGAAACGGGTACTAGAAAATATGAGAGATGCCTGGATTGGAAGAGATAAGAAAGAGATGAAGAGAGGAGTAACAGACGGGAATAGGAAGGCACATGCCCTTAGATATATTTGAAACTCATTGATAATCTTTAATGCTTTAACACAGTTTTTTTGGGAAGTGTAAGACGAAAACAGATTGTCGATTTGAGAACAGAATGTTTCATGAACACAAAATTACAACAAGTATGATTCTGCTGTCAACATTAAAGAAATCTTCATAGTTTATGAAGCATTTGAACCTGAAATGATTTTTGATGATAACGGAATTATCCAATGAAAACTTGGATTAAACCGTATTTGGTGATATGTAGGCTCTTTTTGTCATAAATTTAATTATGAAAGCGGTTTTCCAGTTGCCGAACGACAGTTTCCGACACGCGTATGACCCCTGACATTCTTTGGATAAAAGTGAAAATTATGACTTTGTTGTCGAAAGAAAATATTTTTTTTTCTCTCTCTCTCATTCTCCTTTGATTTCTGTCTTGTAAATGAACGACTGAAGAAGGTCGACAGTTCCTTTGGCTTTTGCTGAACCTTGATTGAACTCTCTGTCAACCTCACAAATGTCTTCTTCTTTTCATAAAAATGTTGAAAAGAGAGAGAGAGAGAGAGATATTTAGAGAGAAAGGTGAGTCATTTGATATTCAAATAATGAATGAATTACTTTATAAATTTTCAAAATCCTAAATGATTGATTAACCGAATATTTTCCAAAATTAATTAAGCAGACAACTAAAGGTTTTGCTAGATTTAAGAAATGTTCAGAGATAGTGATGACTTTTGATCCAAAGATGGCAACAAACTGGATCGTTCAGTTGATACAAGAAGGACTGTAATAGTCAAGCGTTCATTATATGTATATGCTTTGAGTATGTAAAATATAAAACATATAATGTGTAAAAATAAACGAAGAGAAGAGGATCATATGATGATGGTGATGTGTTAGTATGTGAAAAACCTTTTTCTTCATTTCTTTTTCTTAACTTCTCTTATCATAAGTTGGAGATCAGCTGGTTTTAGTATAGTGTTAGAATATATTCTCTATTATCACGTGAAACTTATATTGAAAAAAATTTTTTTTTCTTTTGTTGTAAAAAATGTTCTTTGTAAATATAGTATAATAATTATATCAATAATATAGTAAAAGAAATAGAAAGAAATGATGATGATGATGATGATGATGGAGAGCAATAGAGAACACAACCGTTACGTGTGAATGTACGTCAGAAAATGAATAATCAAGTTTATATGTTAATTTATCATAATTGAAATTAGCATAAACAACATGTGATTGGAAAAAAGAAAAACGATAAGGAAGTAAAATCTATATGATTCTATCACTTTATTTACTATTAGAGCATCTTAATAGATATATCATATAGAAGATAGGATGTACTAAAAGATGATAGGAAAACTTTTATGTTCAGACACAGACTTAGATGAGGCAAGAGGTCGAATATTCAAATTATAGTTTACGTATGTGTTAGTTTGTTAGCTATTCCATAATTGGGAAATTTCTTAACGAACATCTTCACATGTTTCATTCATATTGGATGGATGACATCTAACCGATTGCCGAAAAAACAAGGTAAATCTGGGCCATCTAATAATCTCAAAGGTGTCATCGTTTTTGTTTAAATTATTCAGATGGCGCTAAGCATTAGTTTCTTTGGTTGTGTGTATGTGTCTGTGTGCAGATCGTGTGTACATAAGGATATAACCAACTAACAGAGATCAAGAAAAAAAACGCGAAGAAGAAAATAAAAAGTTCGAAATTGGGCACAGAATTAAGGTGAAAGATG